CAGTTCCAAGAAACAGGAAAAAAACCATTACAAAAACGTCATCCGACTATTATTGATTACATTGAAAGAGTAACTAGAAAAAATTAGAAATTTAGTCAAAATCCCAAGCCAAATTAAGTTTCTTGAAAAGAATTTCCCAGCAGTTGCTAACATTTATCGTGGAGTTCTCAAACCAATCTGAATTAAAAATTTAGAACCATAATTTATTGTTTTCTAATACGACCATTTGTAGAGTTTCTTCGCCCATACACCAATGCTCTTTTCAACTTCCTTTGCTATTTTAGTGACACTTCGCCTCCATCATCAACCGTTACGACTCTATGAAACCGAGTCCAGACGGGCAGCAGCAATCTCTTTGAATTCCTTTGTTAAACACCCACCGGAAATTAAAGAGCATCCTGCTGACTTGTTGCCCATTCTTATTCAGCTTTGCGAATGATACAAGGAACGCACGGGAGAAATTTGCATAAGAATTGAAAACTTTCTGTGTTAACTATTCATCTAAGAAGCATGTAGATGGACACCATATGGATATGGTGTATAGAGTTGTTCAATTAGGAAGAGTATAATTGGTGGGAGTGAACTGTGTAAACTCTTTCTACCTTTCTTAGTATGTTGAAGCTAAAGCTTTATTACTTGTCTATTATTTTCATACAGTTTTGATAATGGAACTTGGGAAATGTCATGGTATTTAGTGTAGGCGTCCGAGTGCAAATTTATTGGATGATACAGTCATCTTTTGCAGTATGGTAGAATAAGACAATAACTCTATTGATGGAATCATAAATGGTTGATGAAATTATTAGTTTTCTTATGTGCAGTTGAATGCTAATGCGAAGTCATTCTTCTTGTCCCATCTTCTTGAGTAGTAGTTACTCTTTGATAGTGTATTCCAATGACTTGCTTAGTTTATCTCATTTAATAGAAGTTCTGTGATGTTTTCTTTTGCACAATTATCTTTCCTTAACGAGGACTGAGCTTTTCATTGAGAAAGATAGAAAAAGAAAGAATATACAAGAACATACAAGAAAAACAATCCGAAAAATAGGAAGCCCATCTAAAGAAAGGGTTTCAATCCTGATAATTCATTTGCACAATTATAATCCTACCTTTTCTTTATGGTTAGGCCCTTGTCCATATTATGTATTCTCGAATGGCGGGAATGGTTCAAGCCGTGTTCGTTAAAACTGATGATGGAGTTCTCATCAGAGTTGATCCACTACTTTAATTTGCCACTGGTTTGAGCCTAATTCGAGCCATATACAACACGCACCCCTCGCCTAAAGTCACCCCACTTGCCGCAAAGGTTACCGTTTTGTTGGTAGGAAGTCTTGTTGTGTGTGTTTGCACTATGAATAGGATTTTGTACATCTTTTAAAGTTATTTTTGTTTTCATTGATTTTTTTATTTTTTGCATAGTTTTTCTTTATTGAGCTTTGACTTCCATTTGTATATTGCTGTCAAGTCCTTAGTACCGAGAGCATTAGGCTCGAGGTAGCATCATATCTTTCCTTGTTTATATCTTGTTTCAATTTTTCTTGTTATTCATTTGGTATCTGTTTGCTACCATTTGATTCTGGTCTTTGGTATCATCTATACCATTGACCCCTAATAAAAAAAAAAGTATTTTTGCATAAGTTGCTTGTAGGCTTGTGCTTGCTTGTTCAAAGGCCAATTCGTCACGAACAATCAAGTCAGCATCTCTAAAAGGGTATCTACACCAACATCCACCCTACTAAAAGGAGAGAAGCCAAGAGGACAAGTAAGGGAGAAAGTGAGTGTTATTAATTGCTTTATTGCTAACCTTTGTTTGTATAGCATTGAGTCACCAAGGAGGATGATACAAGGAGCCACCTACAGAGAAGAAGCAAGTACGTCAAGTAAGTACACTTTAGTTGCTAGAAGATTCTTCAATGCGCAACCAAAGGAAGATACCTTAGGAGAGCAAAGAGATAACCTCTTCTATACCCGGTGCACTATTAATCCTACCCCTGGTAGTGTTCTTATTGATAGTGAGAATCTCTAAGAGGGTATCCGCACCAAAATCCACCCTACCAAAAGGAGAGAAGCTAAGAGGACAAGTAAGGGAGAAGGTGAGTGTTATTAATTGTCTTATTGCTAACCTTTGTTTGTATAGCATTGAGTCACCAAGGAGGATGATACAAGGAGCCACCAACAGAGAAGAATCAAGTACGTCAAGTAAGTACACTTTAGTTGCTGGAAGATTCCTCAATTTGCAACCAAAGGAAGATACCTTGGGAGAGCAAAGAGATAACCTCTTCTATACCCGGTGTACTATTAATCCCACCCCTTGTAGTGTTCTTATTGATAGTGGAAGCTGTGCTAATGTCATTAGCACTTACACCGTGGAAAGACTAAAGTTAGCCATCACACCACATCCACGACCGTATGAACTACAATGGTTGACAAATAGTGGAGAAATCAAGGTCCAAAACCAAGTCCTAGTTCCTTTCTCTATAGGAAGGTACAAGGACGAAGTTATTTGCGACGTTGTACCCATGCACACATGTGATTTGTTACTTGGACGATCTTGGCATTATGACAAGAGGGTAAAGTATGATGGTTTTCACAATAAATTTTCCTTTAGCAACAATGGTAAAAAAACCACACTACTCCCATTATCTCCAAAGGAAGTAAGAAGAATTAATCAAAGGAAATTGGAAGAAAGAAGAAAGGAGAAAGGAGGCCGAAATCAAGGAGATTGCTCAAGTTCGAGAAGAAAGGAACGAACCTCCCATAAAGGGTAAGAAGACCGTAAGTCTCATGACAAGTTCTAGTGAGATCAAAAAGGCCTTGTGTTTTAACCAAATGATCCTCATGTTTATGTGTAAAGGTAAGTGCCTCCTAACTCAAGAACTTAAAGATACATTACCTAGTGCTTTTGTTAAGCTTTTACAGGAGTTCAAGGATGTGATTTCCGAAGAGATGCCCAAGGAGCTACCACCAATAAGAGGAATAGAACACAAAATTGATTTCATCCCGAGGTCTCAAATTCCCAACCGGCTAGCATATCGAACCAACCTCAAGGAGGCCGAAAAGATCCAAAAGCAATTAAAGGAGTTGCTTGCTCACGGGTATGTAAGAGAATCACTTAGCCCTTGTAGTGTCCCCATTTCACTTGTGCCTAAAAATTATGGATCTTGGCCATGTGTGTAGATTGTAGGGCTATTAACAAAATCACCATTAAATATAGACATCCAATATCAAGGTTAGATTATATGCTTGATGAGTTGCATGGCTGTAGATTGTTCACTAAAATTGATTTAAAATTCGGATATCATCAAATTAGGATGCAAGTAGGTAATGAATGGAAGATCGCTTTCAAGACAAAATTTTGGTTTGTATGAATGGTTAGTAATGCCTTGTGGATTGACTAATGCTCCTAGCACTTTTATGAAACATGTTTTGAGAGAGTATCTAGGAAAATTTGTTGTAGTATACTTTGATGACATCCTAATATATTCTAAATTTATGAACGAGCATGTGGAACACGTGAAGTGTGTACTAGCTACCCTTAGGGCCAAGAGGCTCTATGCTAATCTCAAGAAGTGTAGCTTTTGTACGGAGAGAGTCAACTTCCTAGACTTCCCAAGGAGTAGAGCTCGATCAAGAAAATGTCAAAGCCAAGAGTGGCCGACCCCTCAAAGTGTAAGTGAGATACAAATCTTCCATGGTCTAATCGGATTCTATAGACTATTCATCAAGGACTTAGCTATTAAAAATGTCCATTTCTATTTTTCTAAATGTTTTTAATCATTTTTAATTGTTAAAGATTATTTTGCTATTTTTAAAAATTGCATAACAAATACGTACACGTACTAGAAATTCTCATTTAAATACTTGTCCTTAGGACCAACGACCCAGGCGGACAACAATTAAAATAAACAAACTTAGAGCCCTTGGCCAAGAATGGTGTCGTGGTGTAGTTGGTTATCACGTCAGTCTAACAAACTGAAGGTCTCCGGTTCGAATCCCGGCGACGCCATTTATAATTTTTTCAATTACATATATATAATTACATCAGTCCACCTTACATCCATATGATTATTTTCTGAATATTTTCTATGCAAATTGTCAAACATGCTACAATTATTTTCTCTTTTATGCCGTTCTCACCATTCAATTAAAATTCAAGTTGATTTTCTATTTTGCTGTGTTAGTTTTCTTTTATTTTTATTTGAATTTATATAACACTAATTTGGGTCCAAAGATCTCCATTCTAGGTAGGATTCTTGTGTTTTAGTATGATATTTGTTATGTTAATTATTTATTTTGTTTTTTTTTAAGTACGAGCAGGACAATAGGAAGAAAATAAACTAAAAGTATGAGGCGGTTTAAATTTTTGTTAATTATAAATATTTAGATTTAAAAATATAAATTTGAATAGAAATATCTATAAATAGTTTTTTGATTTTCTTTTAATAGTACGTGCCTATTTGTCACCCTGTGGCCAAATAATTTTTGTTAATTAAATCGTCCATTTGTTTTTTTTCAAACTATTTCACAAATTTAATTTTGACCGTTTTATCATTACTGTTTCATTATTATTTTTAAAATCAAAATAACCCCATTGGTTTTTGGGTTTATCTCCTAAATCCTTATCATCAATAGTTTACTTTTGTTATACAGAAGTTTGAGGGTGTAATTTTTAAAATAAAAATTTGAGGGTGTAATTTTTTCACTTGTAAAAGTTGAAGGGTTTAATTTTTACCCTTGAAAGTTTGGGGGTGTTATTGTAACAATCATCATACTTCATGGATAGTTTATGCAATTTATCCTTAAAATTTTTACTTTATTAATTACAATTTCTCACAAATTATAATCAAATAAAAAAAAATTCAACATAACTGAAAGTTCTTAAAACCCAGACTAAATTTGTAAGAGCACAACCACCTGCAATTTAACCTAAAAATTATGATAAACAGTCTTTATCTTTTTTTTTTCCTCCAATATAATAAATAAATTAAAAGCAAAGAAAATAAATCTTCGAGGAGAATGCCTTAACCTGAATAACATTTCTTTACAGCAGGTGACTTTAGGTGCAAAATGAAGGCTATTCTGAATTATAATGTACAAAATGGTTTCATTATATAGGCCTTAGTCCGCCTCAAGTTCAGAACCAAACTGCTCCAATCGAGCTGCGTCTGCTTCCAGATCCCTCACCAAAGCATGGTTCACTGAACCGTCGTCCTCGCTTGCGTGAATTTGTCTTCCACCAAACCTGTCAAAAATCATAAACTAAGCTACCTTAATAAAATAATTCCCCCATGCCATTAAAATCCCATCTTAGTCTCTAAACTTATAAGATTTTTCTATTTTGACCCGACAAACTTTTTAAGTTTACTCCATTTTGATCTTAGAACTTCCAAAACGTCTATTTTAGTTCCGAGACTTTTATAACAACTATTGTTGTCCTTATTAGATAACATATCTCCCAGAAGCATATACATGCTAACATATACATGTATTGAAAACTATATGGGTTGGTTCCGATTAGAACAAGTATTGGATGAGCAAAATATTTAGAGTTAGAACTTATTTCTTTTTTAAGTTTAGAGACTAAAATCAGTACTTTGAAAGTACAGGAACCAAATTGGTTGATTTTTATAAGTTCAAGAACTAAAATGAAATTTAAACTTTTAAATATTCTAAGCAAATGGCTTTTCTTTTGTCCAAGAAAAAGAGAACATAAAAACCAAAAATCTGTTACCATCTGCCGTTCATCAACTCTATACATTTCTGAGCATCCTTCCTATCCTTGAATCTTATCAAAACCACACCCTGTGGATGGTTTTCACAAACCTGAGGCCCACCACAACCAAACAACAAAAAAAATTATTGTTAACACCAGCCTGTTTCCAACAAAACACTCATCTACCGAACACTTAATTTTCGACATTCTAAAATTGCAGCATATGGTCACCAATCAATTTAATAGCATTTTGTTCTTAAGAAACTTGTTTGTTTTCTCTCACAACCAATTTTCAAATCATAGCCAAATTTTACATTAAGGAAATAGTTATGAAAAAGCGTGTTACGTTTTAAAAATTGATTAAGATTTGGTAAAAAGCTAACAAATAAAATAATTAATTTAAGCTTAATTTTAAAAAACGAGACCAACAACAAAATTGTTTTGCAATCAAACAAGCCTACATAATTCATTTCTTTCTCATGGGGAACTCAGCTTATCCAGTATCACTCATCCACATACCTCATCATTAAAGGTAATCAAAATTAGGGAACATGGAAAGAGATACAAGTACAAGGCAACAAACTGTAAGGATCCTTCAAGCGACTAAAAGCCAACTCATGTATATTAGTAAACATATATTGCTTTCCATTCACTTCTCCGAACATCAAGAAAGATCAATATTCGGAAAGGAAATAAAAGGTGAATTACCTTAACCGAATCCACGGGGCCAAATCTTGCGGATTCCTCCTTAACATCTGTTTCTATTTCTGAAGATAAATTTTCATCAGCCTGCAAAAAAAGGAGGACGTTTACTTTTCATTTAACAATTTCCAAACAAGAACCAGCATTTGTTTCATCGATAATTACATGACAAAGCTAGCTAACCCAGACTTCTGGCCAAATATATATTTCAGTCAGATGTAACTTCAAGTTATGCATTCTAAGAGTGGAATGCAAGTACCACAACTCATAATAGAAACTACTGAACACTGAGGTGCATGCACATGCTTACACAACTATATATGAACAAATATACACACTGCATGCGCCA